GCAAGTGCTGGAGTGATTATCTGAACTCAGGTTGCAATCGACTCTTGTGCTCGTCTCTATAATAGATCAAAAGTATGGGATTGTAAAGTGAAAAATTTTCCATGACATTAAATAGTTGCAAGGAAAGTACTTCTCTTTATTCTTGTCAAAAATAGTCACACATGCATACATGTTTTGTGTCAAGGCTCGAGCAATCTATGTGTGCACAATTCGTTCTGACTGTTTCTCCCTTACAATAAATCCTACCTATTGAGACCCTTTCATTTCGAAATAATTTCCTTTCTAGAACAATTCAATATCCGAGGGTAATCCCCCCAATATTCGAGGTTGATTGTAGAGAAATCTCAGATACTATAAACATTATCTTTGATACAGATTCGTGATCAGCCTTTTATTATAAGTTAGTACGATCCATTATTGCCTCGTTAAAAACCTTGCTGAAAAACCCAATTAGGACAAGAATGGTTCAAGGGAAAAAGAGTGTAATGCGTGCTTTAAGACCTAAAGGCTTCATGCTGCTCCTTGTTGATAACCTGCAAGTGTTAGTCAAAAAATAGAAAGAATTGAAATGGACTCGTACCTCAGCAGTAATACCTTTTGAGATGAGTTACGTTCCAATTGTTCGGTAGTTGTTCTACATCCATCGTTCCGAGCTTATAGGATCCTTTCCCTGTGATTTTGAGAATCTGGTACGACCCTTCCCAATTCGGACCCAATATCCCTTCATTGGGATTTCATATGTTTAACATGACCCTCCTCAGTACCAAGTCCTCGATATTAAAATATGGAAGGTTGACCATTTATTTGTAATAACTTTCGATCCATTATTTTTGGGCAACCAATCGAACAAAGGCAGTTTCACGTCATTCATCCAATAGCTCCAGGCTCATATTCATGGCCTCGTCATTCGATTCATTTGTCGCATATTAGAATCTGATGCTTGGTTCCCCAACTTCCACCGGTATTAAAGCTTTAGCACCATAAACCAAAGAGAACGGGGTAGCCCCGGTACTGGACTTTGAAGTTGTGCGATATGCCCAAAGGACTTCGGGCAAGATTTCTCTCCATTTTCCTTTGGTGTCGGTCAAGCTTTTCTTGAGGTTTTGTATTGTGGTTTTGTTGGTCGACTCGGCTTACCCATTCCCACTAGGGTGATAAGGAGTTTATAAAATCCTTTTGATCTTGACACCTTCGAGAAATTTGGTCACCTTACTACCGATAAACTATTTTTTGTTGTCACATGCAATTTCAGGTAGTATCCCGAATTGACATTTGATGTGGTCCTAAATGAAGTCGATGACTTATTTCTCCCTGATCTTCTGGCAAGCATGTGCTTCAACCCACTTAGAGAAATAGTCAGTCAAAAACAAATTGAGCCTTACCTGGTGACGACGGAAGAGGGTCGACGATGTCCATCCCCCACTTTATGAACAGCCATAGGGATAAAACCGAATGTAGCAGCTCCTCGAGTTGATGAATCATCGGAGTATGTCTTTGACATTTTATCACACTTTTGTACAAATTCCTTCGCATATTTTTCCATATCAATTCCAGTAATAGCCGGCTCTGATTACCTTTCGAACCAGAGATTCGGCGCCTGAATGGTTCCCGCATGTGCCTTCGTGGACTTCCTTCAAAACATACTCGGTATCTCCTAGTCCCAGACTTATTGCTAGCACACGCTCGAACATCCTTCAGAGTAAGGTTCTATCTTTGGACAGGCTAAATCAAGCTGCCTTTATGTGCAGGGCCCTCGATTCCTTTGGATCTGAGGGAAGTTTTCCGTTCTTCAAGTACTCTATGTATTTGTTTCTCCAATCCCAGGACAAGCTTGTGGAGTTTATCTTAGCGTGTCCTTCTTCGAACACTGACCTCATGAGTTGTACGACAGCCCCCGAATTGAGTTCGTTGTCTTCGACCGATGACCCTAGGTTTGCGAGGGCATCAGCTTCCCTGTTTTGATCTCGAGGCACATGTGGCAAATTCCATTCCTTGAATCGGTGTAGAGTTACTTGTAGCTTATCCACGTATCTTTGCGTTCGTTCCTCTCGAACTTCAAAGGTTTCGTTAACCTGATTCACAATGACGAGGGAGTCGCATTTGGCTTCGATCACCTCTGCTCCCAAGCCTTTGCCCAGTTTGATACGTGCAATCATGGCCTCATATTCGGCCTCGTTGTTAGTCAATTTTACAGTTCTAATAGATAGTCTAACCACGTTACCTGTGGGCGGTTTAGCACGATGCCAAGTCCGGACCCCTTTATGTTCGAAGCACAGTCCGTAAAGAGGGTCCAGATACCTGAAGATGTACTCGAGTTGACTAATAGTTCTTTTTCAACCTCAGGTACTAGGGCTGACATGAAGTCAGCCACAAAGTCTGCCAAGAGTTGAGACTTGATGTTTGTTCGGAGTCGATACTCAATATCTTACCCGCTGAGTTCTACGGCCCATTTGGCCAATCGTCCCGAAAGCTTGGGTTTATGCAAAATATTTCAAAGAGGATAAGTTGTTACAACTCATATGGGATGACATTGAAAGTATGGTTTTAGTTTCCTAGAGACGCTTATCAAAGAGATTGTTAACTTTTCTAGATGATGATACCTAGTTTCGGCTTCACCTAGGGTTCGATTAACATAATAGATAGGTCATTGCGTACCTTGTTCTTTTCGGACTAGGATTTCACTTACTGCTACCTCCGATACTGCCAGATATAAGGAAAGTTATTTGTACGCCCTTGGCATGTGAAGTAGCGACGGGCTCAACAAGTACCGTTTAAGCTCATCTAAGGCCTGTTGGCATTCCGGAGTCCATGTGAAGTTATTCTTCTTCTTTAGGAACGAAAAGAATCGATGGCTCTTATCGGAAAACCTCGAGATGAATTGCCCCAAGGCGGCTATGTGCCTTGTTAACCTCTCCATGGCCTTTACGTTTTCTACTACCATGATATCCTCGATCACTTTGATTTTGTTAGGATTAATCTCGATTCCTCGATTGGATACCATGAAGCCGAGAAATTTGCCGGAGCCGACCCCGAACGCGCATTTCTCCGGGTTGAGCTTCATGTTGTATTTCTTCAATGTACTGAAAGTTTCCTGCAAATACTTCAAATGGTCCTATGTTCGCAGGGACTTAACTAGCATGTCATCAATATAAATTTCCATAGATTTTCCTATTTGTTCTTCGAACATTCGGTTAACTAGGCATTGATAGGTTGCACCAGCATTTTTTTAGTCCGAATGGCATTACATTATACTAGTAGGTACCATATTTGGTGATGAACGAGGTCTTTTCCTAGTTTTCTGGGTTCATCCGTATTTGGTTGTACCCGGAATAGGCATCGAGAAAACTGAGGATCTCATGGCAGGTCATGGAATCGATCATGCGATCGATATTAGGCAAAAGGAAAAGAATACTTGGGGAATGCTTTATTCAGGTCTTTGTAGTCTATACACATTCTAAGTTTGTTTCCCTTTGTTCGAGCCTCTTATTTTGGTTTCTCGAACCGAGAGATCCATGAATCAGGATCCTGATGCATATAGATTAGGGACTACTACGACATTCGCCAACCATTCAGGATATTTTACTTCCCGTATGAACCCTATTTTGAGAAGTTTGATTGCCTCGTCTTTGATGAAAGCGTGTTTGACCTCGGACTGGGGCCTTCTTTTTTGCTTCATCGGACGAAATTTCAGGTCCAGGCTTAATTTATGGGTGGTACTTTCTAGTAGGATTCCTTTCATAACGAGATGAGACCAAGCAAAGCAATCCATGTTAGTTTTAAGGAATTGAATAAGTTTTATCCTGAGCTCGGGGGCTAGCCCTGTGCCCAAGTATACCTTTCGCTCGAGTTGATGTTCGGTCGATATGATTTGTTCCAGCTCTTCGATCGTTGACTTGTTGGCGTCGGAATCATCGGGGACTATGAAAAATCGAGGAACACCATAGTCATCATCCTTGTTTCCCCTACTTTTCTAATTGGGTCGAGGCCGGTGTCTGTGATTGCTATTTGACCTCCTGTTTTCCCTTCGAATTTGACCATTTTGTTGATGAGATCACCGATATGAATATCACTTCATCAAAGGCAAACATTTCCTTGGCAGCTTGTTGCTTCCCATAGACTGTTTTGACTCCCTTCGGTATCGGAAACTTTAGAACTTGATGAAGGGTCGAGGGTACTGCCCTCATGTTGTGGATCCACGATCTCCCGAATAAGGCATTGTACCTCATATCGCCCTCAATCACATGGAACTTCATTTCTTGGATGCTCCCAGCCACGTTTACCAGCAAAGTTATCTCGCATTTGGTGGTTTCACACGCCTTGTTGAAGCCGTTTAGTACTTGGGTCGCGGGCACAACCTCATCCTGTAGGCTGAGCTGTTCTACAACCCTCGATCGGATAACATTGGCCGAGCTACTTGGATAAATTAAAACACATTTAACTTGAGTCTTATTCATAAGTACAGATATTACTAGTACGACTACTGAAAAATTGGTCTATAGTAACGCATGGAAAACCGTTCCAATAGTAGATAAACCGTTGCCATAGCGATATTGGAACGGTTTACAGACCGTTCCATCTGCCCGCGTGCCAATAGAGCTATAGGCACGGTTTTTGCAACGGTTTGCGTCTCCGCTGCTGTAAAGACGTCTATCGCAACGATTTTTCCTTTCTTTGTTGGGACGATTATTCTTTCCAGTTAGAACGGTTTAAAATCGTTACTATATTCTTGATGCAACGGTTCATAACCGTTATAATATTATCTGATGCAACACTTGTGAAAGCTATTGTTACAGTTATGTATGGATATTGGAACGATTTATAGGACATTTTAGAATAGTTTACCGGACCTATTGCAACGGTTTACATTCTCTAATGGAACACCATTTGTGTCATATTGCAACGGTTCTGGTAGGCTATTGTAACAGTTTATTTTAAACAGAAATATAGCCCCAGTTGTAACTAATTTTTTATATATATAATAAATTATGATAACTCTAAAATTTAAGTAAATCACAAAATGAAACTATTAATAATATAAATTCTCCGACAAGCTAATAATATTCATAAAGAAAATGTTCTATCCCAAGTGCATAAGTTTAATACATTTCAAGATAGTAAGTTTCAGAATATTGTTAACAAAAGATTCCTAGAATATTCATGTATAGCAATTCAACATTCATTTTAAGCAAGGTCCAGATCTTCACTGCCTTCATCTTCCATTTATTGATTTACTCCACCTACAAAAGAAGATAAACAAAGTCATTACCCTTCAAGAGAATCTGGTTGAAGAATGATCATAGCACACCCAAAGATATTGAATGCCTGGACAAAATATATGGGACAAAAAAGAAAAGAATAGATTGGACATACAAGATGTTAGTCATGAGCCTAGCTCTTCTACCGATAAACACATTACGTAGACCCAAATTTAGACATCAAATGTGTATGCAAGCTACTAAAAAAGAACAACATAGTATATGTTACTGACCCTTCCCAATAGTAGTTTAGAGAGTAATAAGCAAAATCCATTGAAATAGAGAATGTTACAAGCATACCAGATCAAGATAAGAATGCAAAAAGTTAGCAACAACAAGATGATTTGATAGGAACCTATGGGATCAAGAATAGCAATGAAGTTTAATCTCTATCTTAGGATGTTTAGGGAACGATATACGAATATAGTCTTACATGTTTTTATAAGCTTTCCCTAAATATCCTAGGACAGAGAATAAACCCCATCACCAAACCTACATTAAGAAAATTATTCACTCTATGGATATACTCATCAGTCCATCTCAGAAGATTCATCCAACTTTTATCACCATAATCCATGAATATCCTATATAACATAGTCAAATCACCAAAATTAATATTCAAGCTAAGAAAAGTTATATCTCGATACTATATTATTATTACCAAGAAAAAATATAGCATATTGCTTTTAGAAAGAATAATAAGAAAGGTGTTGCACTACTATATTCTGATTTGATGACTCAGAGAAATTCTTGCTTAACAATGACCTTCATTTTTGTTTTACTCTAGCTTTTAATATATTTTTCTGTTTCTGACCTATAATACACTTTCTCAATGCAAAACTAATCTACTCATGTTGAATGAATACCTAAAATTTATCAATTCAAATAATTCATGTCGACGCGCATAGTCTACAGTAATACATAAACAAATACTATAATAAGAAAAATAATCTAATAAACCAAAGAACAAAAAATGCATTGCATTAGTCAGTAGAACGACACCGTACTCTTTTGGCTACAAGACAATATACCTTATATCAAGACACACANATATATATATATTGGGTAGGACTCCAAGTTTATTTATTCTAAAAACAGAAGAATCTGATTAAGCTAAAATGAAAATACGAACAACCAGCTCTAATTTTTTACTTTTTAAAGATTAATTTATAAAATAGAGATTAAACTTCATGAGATTAAGGAAATATAAAGAATACACCTATATATACACACAAAAAATTGCTCAGAGGGAACCAAAAATAGCCACAAACAAAAGTATGAAAATCAAACTACTTTTAGATAGCGAAACAAATTGTACATTCTCAAACTTAAACGCTGAAGCTTCAGTTAAATCAACAAAGCTAAGATTGCAACAGAACAAATAGCTGAGTTATGGGACTCGTAATTGGATAAAAATATATCTCTGCACAATACAAAAAATATAAAAAGTCAACATGTATAAACAGATAAAATTAAAATTACAAACTTGTTCACAGAGAATCAATCCACAAAATGACAATACTTATCCAACTAATTTTTGGATTAAGTTGTATGTTTCAGCTAGTTTTTCCACACAAAAAAAAAATGAGCATCTGCATGAGAAACCAAATATTTACAAATTGAACAAGTATGTTTCAGCTAGTTTTTCCACACAAAAAAAATGAGCAACTACATGAGAATCCAAATATCTACAAATTGGACAAGTATGTTTTAGTTAGCTCTTCCCTAATTTGGACAACAACTAAAGAGGGAAGCTTCTCTGTTAAAAGCAGTTACACTTTACTACAATCCTTCATAAACGAGTGACAGACATCAATATTGTTTGTCTTATTTATCAGACAAACATAGATAGAATGAGGCTCTGTTTTTAGAGTTTTCCCATATACCGTATTGTTAAAGTTCTTGATACAAGATAAGAAATTAGGAAGTAAAGATACCATATTTAATTGTCTTATCTCTTTTTGTGTAAAATTAAAAATGGATCCACTTTCAAGATTCATATACTCAATTGATTATATTTAAATTATACCCAAACCCAATCAAAGAATTCATGTATATCATTATTGTTCAAGCTTCCATAACTCAGTTAGAGAATTGCACAGTAATCGAAACAAGGATGATAATTGCCAGAATCTTTAATTCTGGTTAGAGACTTGATGTTCAAAGAACTAATTATTGAGAATTTCTATTTTCCTTGAAGAAGCAAATATTTTAATACTAATAAAATGGGTACAAACGATTCCAATGTAGACGATTCATATAGAGGATCCCAACTAGTTTAAACTTTCTTACAGGCAGGATACATACGATTCACCTTTTTTAGATAATAATTCAAGACCACATAAAAATCTAAAAAAGAATAAGAAACAATTAAGAAAATGCTCCCCTTATAAATTCTTAGGTACACACATGTGAAGCTGGATAATTCAACAAATATTGGAATCTAAAAATTATGAAGAAAAAAGTTTGACTTTCTTCATCCGTGTTCTCTAACTATTAAAAGCTACGATATGGCAAACAAGAATATTGTATAAATTTGCTAATAGTTCATTTCTTGGATGTATAAAGCCCAAACAATATTTCAAATTCTCAGAAATCAGAATCACCCATCAATAGATATACTAAAATGCAAACCTACATGAGAAAGGAAACAACAAGATGAAAAGAACTTTTTTTTTCCGTTGACTTAAAAGAAACCAACACAAAATAGATATACTAAAATGCAAACCCACATGAGTACTTCAGATAATTACAATTCAGAAATTCAAAGTACCAATTTTTAATTAACTTCAAAACACACACACAAAATTAATAATCAAACAAATACAAACCCAAAATCCCGCATGAAGGAAGCTTACGAGAAATATAAAAATTTAAACAAAAAAATAAAAAACAACCCCATATGGAAAAAGTCAACCTTTTTCACTCCCACCATCCAACAACGAATAAAAAGCAAATACAAATTAACCATCAAACAAATACAGAAACAAAAACCCACGTGGATAAACTTACAAGAAACAAATTAAAAAGGCTGCTAAAAATTAAGCCTTCGACCATGAGCATATACTCAAATTGAGACCCACTTTCAAGATTCATATACTCAATTGATTAATTCATGAATGAGGTCCAAAATCAACACCCACAAGAGTTAAGAAACTTTTGCAATAAGAGTATATTTACCGATTTTTAGATTTGGAGAAACCCTAAAGGATTAGCACGCCGCCGCAGCCCGATGATGGATGACTGGTCGATCATCTCATTTCCGGAAGAACAGAGGCGTTGGAGCCTGTAGGAGAATGTTTAAGGACGCCGATTTTAATTTTGTGAGTGTGGCTTGTACTCAAATTAGGGGTTTACATATTTAGTATTTTATTAGATATAAAAACTAAAAAAATAAAAATTAAAAATCAGATTATGGGCCCCTTTAATTTGAGAGGGTATAGAAAATTTGGGTGAAAAATAAGGAGGGAGTTAAAAAATTTCTCCAACGTGCCGTTACCATAGATATATTTATTGCCACAGTTATACAAATTGTTGACATATATACCTCTATCGGAACAGTTTTTAGACTATTTCAACAGTTTGGTTGCTAAAGTGTCCCGATAGTTCCAATAATATTTGTAACAGTTAAAACCGTTGCAATACACCATCTATAGCAACGGTTACTGATCCGTTGAAATAAAAAGCATTGCCATAGCCCAAATTTATAGTGGTAAGTGCGTCGCTGTGGGGGTGTACGATCCCTTATGCATCCTCGTCATTGAAAGACAAGGTTCATTCTAGTATGTAATCCTGAGTTCGCTTCTCTCTTATGATCGACACCTTGATGCGTTTTAATACTGGTCCTTGAGGAATATCGACCCATCCAACAATCATGTGAATCACGTGCAGTGGCTCTTCTTGTTCGTTCTGTCTGCTGGAATCTCTATTGTTTAAGTGATTCTTCGCCTGATTGCTTAAGAATTCCCGAAGATGCCCCTCATTAAACAAGCGGGCTACTTCCTCCCTTAGTTGTCTGCAATCTTTTGTTTTATGACCATGGTGCCATGATACTTACACACTTGATTGGAATTTCTCTGGGCTGGATCGGTCTACAGAGGTCGAGGCCATGTAGTATTTTTGATACGTCTGATGGCTGATACTATGGCGGATGCATCTACGTTGAAGTTATATTCTGACAATTGCGATGCTTCTTTCGGCTCGACATCCCTATCGAAACCATTCTTGCTCACGAGTCCCAATGAACTTTGACCTCGATCATTCCTCCTCTCATTCCGTGCAGGGTTTCGTCCAAATCCATTGCCCCTATTGTGAGCACGTGATTTTTGCCCTATATGAGAATCACTCCAAAAAAAAATTCAAAAAAAACAATTTTCCTTTGTGTGCAATTTTTGTATTTTTGTGGTATTTTTGTATAATTGTTTGTATTTTTGTCTGTGCATGTTTATTTATTTTAAATTAATAAAAATATAAAATATGTCGCATTTTCATTTAGTATTTATTTAAATTTGTTTTACAAAATGAGAAAATCATAAAAAATAATGTACGTTGCATTTTTAGCATTTAACGTCTAAATTGTGCGATTTTATCGTTAATTGCTATTTAAATGTGCGATAATTATTTTTAGAGTTAATTAGTTTTTTTTTATATAAGATAATTTAGTTTGTAATTTAATTTAGAATTTTAGTTTTATTAATTAGGAAGTAAAAGAAAAGAGAGCAAAAAATACAAAGAAAAATCGAATTGGGCCACTTCTTCAAATTTCAACCCCAAGCCCAAATAATTGCCCAACCTTCCCCATGACCCGGTCCATTTCAAACCGGGTCGACCCAGTCCATAACCCATGACAGTTGAGCGACCGTGCTAGAACCACGGAACTCGGGAATGCCTAACACCTTCTCCCGGGTTAACAGAATTCCTTATCCGGATTTCTGGTACGCAGACTGTAATATGGAGTCATTCTTTTCCTCGATTCGGGATTAAATTGGTGACTTGGGACACCCTAAATCTCCCAAGTGGCGACTCTGAAATAAATAAATAAATCCCGTTTCGATCGTCCTTTAATTGAAAAAAACTCCTACGCCCCTCACGGGGGGCGGAAAAAGGAGGTGTGACACCTATGATCTCTATTATACGATTGATATTGATCTCTATTTGACCTTGGTTCTCGATCGATATCCCTCTTGATTCTATCCATGGGCCTATTAGGATAAATGGACTTGGAAGTAGCCCACAGTTGATCATCCTCGACCCTGATCTTCGACTGATACCGATTATGAACATCAGCCAAAGTAATAGCTGGATACTCGATAAAATTCGGCTTCAACTGTTGTGAATCTATGGAACTCCGAACGTTGAGACCTTGAGTAAAAGCTTGGACAGCCCAATCGTCGGTGACCGGTGGCAAATCCATTCTTTCCATTTGCAATCGAGATATGAATTCTCTAAGCATCTCGTTGTCTTTCTGTCTTACCTTGAAAAGGTCTAACTTTCTTGTTGCGACCTTAATGGCTCTGGCGTGTGCCTTTACATAAGAATTTGCAAGCATAGCAAACAAATCAATAGAATTAGATTGTAAATTATGATACCATATCATAACACCCTTTGATAGAGTTTTCCCGAATTTCTTTAGCAACACGGATTCAATCTCGTCATCTTCCAAGTTATTTCCTTTGATGGCGCACATGTATGAGGCGACGTGTTCGTTTGGATCAGTCGTCCCGTTGTACTTAGGAATCTCGGGCATACGGAACTTTTTGGGGATTGAGTTCGGAGCCGCACTTGGGGGAAAAGGTTTTTGTATAAACTTTTTAGAATCTAGTCCTTTCCATATTAGTGGTGCCCCCGGGATTTGGTCAACCCTGGAGTTATAATATTCCACCTTCTTATCATTTCCCTCGATCTTCTTTTTCCCTGTCTCGATTCGCTTTGTCAGTTGCTCGAGCATCTTTAAAAATTAAAACAACAGGATTGGTCTCGGATTCCTTCTCATTCGATTTTCTCGAAGCCGATTCAACCCCATGTACAACTTCTTGGGATGGCTTGAGTTCGACCCTGCTTGGCGTATGGTTCTGATTTTGGAGCTGAGCTATTGCTACCTGTTGGGCTTGCAACATTTCGAAGATTACCCGCAGGCTGATCCCGCTATCTTCACCGCCATGTGCATTATGAGTAGCTGATCGGGTGCCCACAGGAACGCTGCTTTCGGGATCGACGGTCAAATTTTCATTGATAGCTACATGCGAACTAACACCGATTGGGTCTACAGCCAGAACTCTATCGAGGCCAACAGGGGTTGCAACGTTTCCTGTTGCAATGTTCTCATTCTCGCCGTGGTGGCTGAGATTATTGTCAATGTGTTGAGGTGCTGACTAAGAGTTTGACATTTTTAAATCCTATAATCAAAGACACTTCAAAGAACAAGCGTAAAATAGTACGTGTTATACTAGACAATCATTATTATCCTTTGCCCCGCGGTGGGTGTCAAACTGCTTACCCTAAAAACGAATAACAATTGAATTTATATTGTGATTTTAAGGATACGTGATTTTACTTGGCACAAACTGAGCAAAAGTAGATTGATATTGAAATTGACAGTAAATAGGAAGTAAAGTAAACCAAATGAATCAAGTAGCCTTGGCCTTCGAATTTGATCGCCCTTGAACCAAGTAAAGATTTAGTTGACACAAGAACAAAGTAGTATAATGTTGAAAGCTTAAGAGAGAAGTAGTATACAGCTTTATGTAACGTTAATATGATGATCCTTTACAAATGATCAGACTCCCTTTATATAGTAGGTGAGTCCTACTCTTGATAGAATTCTAAATACAGTAAGAAATCCCATGATTGGTTTCTTGATACGTGCCATAATTTCTACTGTGATCCTTGCCCGATCGCGGATATCTCGACTTTCCATTATTTTACTCGACAGGCTCCCCTCGATCTTGCTCGATCTTTACCCCGCTCAGTCTCGATCTAGGTTGGTCTCGATATAGATTGGACCTTGAGTCACGAGCTTGGTCATCTACTTCATGTCTCGGTCCAGTATGGCATGGGTCGAACCCTGGCCTGTCACCCACCGGTCTTGATTAATCATTAAAAGGGGGAAAGACCGATTTTGACTGTATACAATCACCATTTCTACCATTCTTTATATTCAATTACAACCCCTAAATGTCATGATACTATTAAGTGAATATAATAATAATGGTTGAAAATGGACCCAGAGCCTTTGATTTGGTACTTCAGGGATGGGTCTCCTAATGTCAGTGGTGCTGGTGCTAAAGAAGCTACTAGTTAGAATTCTTTGATTGTTGATTCTGTTAAGCTTGCTTTTAATTTTATAGAAATGTGCAATTGCTCCTCCTTTAAATCTCAGCAGCCATGGCAGATAGAACCCACAGGAAAATACTCATAAACATATTCTGCCGAGATATCTAAACTTTTCACCAGTCGGAGGCAAAACTCCATTTTCGACAAGCAAAAGACGTAAAAAAGAGAGTTTTATTGTAAATTCCATGGCGTTGGAGAACATCACATGTGGAGATGTAAAAGACTACGACAAATAGAAATTACAATTTTGCTCAAGTTGTCCAATTGGTCCAGTTTGCTAGAATAGGGGTTGGGAACGAAGGTATCAGTGTTTAACTTTTTTTTGTTTGGTCTTTTCCTTTGATATATTTTGTGAAATAGTAAATGGTAGAAAAGGATAAAAAGAAAAAAAATTAAATCATTGGATCAATTAATTCAAATCTACACCATTCAAATAATGTTGCAGATCTCATTTTTTACCTTTTCACGCGCTCCTTTTGCGTGAAGTTTACTTGGTCAAAGAAGGTGTGTATTAGAAAACTTTTGAAAGTTTGAGTGTGTAACATTATTTTCGCAATTAGAAAGTGTGTAACAGAGATGTGGTCCAAATTAAGGGAGCAACTTATGTATTTTGCCTTATTTATATCCAAAGATAAGAGTTACATATATTGTTTACGTGATTATGTCATACTATGACCAGCGACAGAGAGAGGATTTGAAGTTTGTGGGTTCAAGATTCTAAATTTGTTAAGTTACTGGGTTCTAAGTTAGTAATTTATCTATAATAAAAATTTTAAAATAAATATATGATTTGGATCATAATTGTTGGGTTCGGCCGAACCTGTAACTTCTACTCTCCCTCCCTTTGCCGCCCCTGACTATTAGCCTGTTTGGCCAAGTTTTTTTTTTGGTAAAAAATTGAGGTGTTTGACCAAGCTTTTAGAAGGAAAAAGTGCTTTTGAGGAGAAGCAGAAGCCGTTTTTGAGAAGCAGAAAAATGTAGCTTGTCTCCAAAAGTACTTTTCTGAGAAGCACTTTTGAGAA